TGAGCGAACAATTTGGCTACTGCATAAATTAGTGTGCTCTGAAGCCATCCTTCCTGAGCTGAGACAAAAATGTGTGAGCTGTAGGCTAAAAAACTATGAGCTAGCTCACACTAACTCAGCTTAGAGGGAACACTGCCTGTGAGGTAGGTGGGGCTGAGAGAGTTCTGAGAGAGCTGTGATTAACCCAAGGTCACCCAGCTGGCTTCATGTGGAGGAGTGAGGAAACGAGCCCCAGATTAGAGTCCACTGCTGTCAACCACTACCCCAAACGGGCTCTCTCACTTGCTTAGTGAGAGAGATTTCCCACAAGCGCTGCTCTGCGCTCGCTCTTCCCTTTTGTCCCGATGGTACGTGTCAATTTCACACAAGCTGCTGTGTGGCCGCATTTTTGCCCCGCAGCTTCACGTGATTTTTCCTGCGTCTACTCAATCCTGTTTTTTGAGGAAAATTGGGTGAAGCTGTGGGGGAAAATGCAGCCATGCAGCAGCTTGTGTGAAATTGACACGTACCATCGGGGCAAAAGGGAACAGCGAGCGCGGAGCAGCGCTTGTGGGAAATCGGTCAGAGTCATGTATGGTACTCTATCAAGTAGTGAGGAGAATTTTTCTTGGATTTCTAGTCAGGTGTTGACATCTGAAAGGATTTTCCTTACAGCCTGACATGTTAACTCAGATTGCTGAGTGGTTATATGCACACGGTGGTAAGTTACTGCATGGCCAATGGTTGTCTATATTCACTCTCTCTGACAGAGACCCTCACAGTCTTGATCTATACATGCCACAGAATGTGACAGTTAAGTCCTCAGTTGGTAGAGTGGACTTACCACTTCAAACGGGGGTTGCCATTTTTAAATATTAAATATTTAAATAAACCCTTCCTGAAGAAAACTAGCATAGCAGGGATAAAGGTGCTGGTATTCTACCTGCAGGGAGTTTTTTAAACAAACAAACAAACAAACATTGGCACCATCTAAAAATAATATTTGCCAGCTGCTACCTTGTGGAACAGCCTGTCACACCACCTCAACATCCTACCACCTCATTCTACAACGTGTGAAGATCTAACCAGTTTAAGGGGTGGAATGGGGGTTGGAGGGGCTGCCTTAACCTCCAGTGGCTTAGGGTTGCCAACTCTAGGTTGGGACATTCCTGGTAATTTGGGGGTGGAGCCTGGGGAAGGCAGAATTTGGGTAGAGGAGAATGCTCATTGGGGATGTGATTCCATAGTTCCCCCTCTGAAATGGCCATTTCCCCCGGGGAAAGCAATCTCTGTAATTTGGAGATCAGTTGTAATTCTGGGAGAGCTCCAGACCCTTCCTAGAACTTGGCAACTCTAAGTTTAATGGACTACTGAAGTCCTTGTAGTATAGTCATAAGCTCCAGTGATTGCCATGCTCACTGTTAGCACTGTGAGGAACAAGGTGACCTTGCCCTTGTTACAGTGCCAAGGGCCATGTCAGAGCAGGGTCAGCCTTTGCCTCCTTGTGGCTGGCAAGCGTCCTACCACCTTCTCATTACTCTTTACACCATACTACATGGCAATAAACCCAGGTTTGCAACTGAGTGTACACTTGGCAAGCAGCTTGGCTTGCCAAGTGCCTGGAAAAGAAAAAAAAGACTGGCCTCAATGAAATGTTAGTTGCCAGGTGATTTTATTTACCTCCTTCTTTAGCTTGGAGAAATGACAGCTGAGGGGTGACACACTTGCCCCACTGATGGATCTCCTGATGGCACCTGGTATTTTTGGCCACTGTGTGACAGAGTGTTGAACTGGATGGGCCATTGGCCTGATCCAACATCGGCTTCTCTTATGTTCTTATGCCCTAAAAAGCTTCAAGGGTCTACTTTCACACACTGAGCCTCTATTAAAGGGACAGGGCATCTCTCTCCGCCCCCATGGCCTGTGGGTAATTGTACAAGCAGCTTTAGATAATCCTGGCAATCTGATGAGTGCACCTGTATAGTATAACAAAATCCAACAGAAGTCCAGTGGTATCTTAAATGCTAACATTTATTCCAGCAAAACCTTTTGTGAGTCAGAGCTCACAGTTAATGGGACTCTTTTTGTATCATCTCCCCACACCCATCTTCCTGTCACTTGTAACGTTAAACATTAACATGTTTCTTTTGGATGTTCTAGCCCTTAGCTGGACAGCCTCGCTAGCTTGATCTTGTGAGATCTCGGAAGCTAAGCAGGGTCAGCCCTGATCAGTATTTGGAATTGGAGACCACCAAGCGGGAGGCTGAAAGGGCAGCTTGAAGGAAGCGGATTACAACGGAGTGTGTGGCAGATCAGCAAAAAAGCGATAAATCACCAGACTTATGGAGAACTTTTAGACTTTTCTCTTGTGTAAATAATGATGCAGTGAGCAGAAAAAATGGCGCTGAAAGCGAAACTTATAACAGGAACGGCCAGCACATCATTGCTGGCTACTAGTCCAGAAGTAGCCACAGACTTTGACGTTAAGCTTGATAAATTGCAAAAAGAACTCAAAACTTCAGCGAGAAAGAAATAAAGCAGATGTTCCTGAAGCAACAACAGAATGTGGCAGATGGACCTGAGAAAGTGGAGGAGAACAAAGACACAGAAGAAGAAGAAAAAGAGAAAGATGGGGAAGATTCTGATACCATCTTGATTAGTCTGGCAGAACGCTTTGATCCTGAAGCAGAATCAGTGGCTCCCACCCCTAAAGCATTTAAAAACTAATTTGGACTTTGACAGGAGGAGAGGAAAATGCAAAATAGTTTAACTTCGATAGCCTGATGTTTATTCTTAATGCATAACTTTAAACCTATGATATTTACACTATAGCCAAAGAGATTGTGATTGTTTGCTTGACACTTTTATATTATTAATCCTCATATTTTACTATTAAGATAATAGGGATGTATCAACAATCTTATATTTCTGTACTGTGGATCTTTGTTACTCTTTATTTTAGGTTGTTCCCTTCCCCTGATTCTGCAGGTTTGTAGTTTAGAAAATAAAAAATTGAAAAAGCAAAAAAAAAAGAGGAATGGGAGACCACCAAGAAATTCTAGGGTCTGTGACAGGCAGGTAATGGTAAACCACCTCTGAATGTCTCTTGCCTTGAAAATTCTGTGGTGTCCTCACAAGTTGGCTGTGACTTGACAGCATCTGATGAAGTTAGGTCTGCCTCAGAAAAGCTCATGCTGGAATACATTTTGTTAGTATTTAAAGATCCATTGGACTTCTCTTTGATTTTGCTGCAACAGACACCACAGCTACTTCTCTGAATGTATAACATAGGTGTTACCAAACATCCATTTCCTTACTGAATTTTTTAGTTATGTGCTATAAAAGTCAACACGTGAATTGTTTCTGAACTACATGTAATACTTTGTATTTGTGGTAATAAAATACCAGGTTTTAGTGGGTGTGCTTTGAAAACTGCAAAGTGGTTGGAACTCTCAAAAGAGAGTCAGGGCAAATAACAAGCAACCCATCTGATAAAATGAGCAAAAAGCTGAATAACAGCTCCTTGGGACTCCATTAGTACCAATTTAGGAGTTAATCAAGTGTCTGTAGCATCACAAAAGCAAAATACATAGTCATAAGTCTGAAGAAAAAAATTAGAGAGAAGACACATGGAAGATTTAGAGTCTAAAGAGGGCATTTGCAGTATTTCCTTTCATCATCTTGTCCACGTAAGAGACAGCAAACATGGCAAGAATGGGTTAACAGCCATGCACTGGGGAGCTGCTAAATGTCTGCTCCATTGAACAAGAGGATCAGGTTATATCACTGGAGGGTTTCCAAAGGGAATTCTGGGAATCTGTCCCTAAATAAACTATCAGAGTTCACAGTGCTAACTTTCTGAACTGAACGCTGTGCTGCTGTGTCCCTATCCAGAGACAAGGCCTACCTTTCTTTGTAACGGGCACCCCCCTTCTGTGGTGTATAGACATAGACCGATCTAATAGATGCGCACATCGTGCCTGTGATGAAGTGAGCTCTGATCAAGAAAGCTTATGCTAGAAGAAAACCTGTCACTCTCCATTGGACTCCTATTTGATAAAACTGCATGTGCAGCCCCAGAACAAGGAACTGTGTGCATCTACTTGGTACATAACATTTCTAGTCCAATAGTGGATGTTCACAAGGAACTAGAGATGCCAGCCTCCAGGTGGAACCTGAGGATCCCCTGGGATCACAGTTCATCTTCAGACTACTGAGATCAGTTCTCCTGGAGAAAATGCATACTTTGGAGGGTGGACTCTATGGCACTGTATCCCACTGGGGTCCCTGTCCTCTCCAGGCTCCATCCATTCCCCTGCCTGGATCTGGCAACCCTACTCTCATATCTGGCCAGTGGCCAGGGATAAGGTTGCCAGGTTTGCATTGGAAAATACCTGGAGACTTTGGGGGTGGATCCGGTAGAGGGCCAGGTTTGGGGAGGGGAGGGAGGCATGGTACAATGCCACAGAGTCCACCCTTTAAAGCAGCCATTTTCTCCAGGGGAGCTGATCTATGTCAGCTGGGGATCAGTTGTAAAAGTGGGAGATCTCCAGGCCCCACCTGGAGGCTGGCAACCCTAGCCAGGGGAGACCTGGCAACCCTACCAGGAACCAGGACTCCCATGAGAATACAGCTTAGCTGAACAGCAACAGATGGGTTTCATTTTGAAGTAACTGCTGCCTTTTGTTTCGTTCAGCCTAGGCCTCCTGAAATGGCAGACTGCACTGGGAGCAGAGATGACCTCACTGCATCTCAAAAGGCAGAGTCAGCCAACATGTGCATCAAAAGGAGTATTTGAAACCTGTTAGTGATGGTTTGGATAGTACTTAGTTCGGATTAACTAATGCACAACACAACAGTGTAACAGTTACTAAAATTACAGAAAGAACAATAGTATCAATTCTCACTTAATGATGACATAAGAAGACACAAGGGAGAAGGAGTGACATTTTGGTTTACCCGAGAGGGCTGCTAAAACATTTCAGCTGTCCCTGAACGGAAGGAAAAGTAGAAGAGCTCACCATATCTGCACCGGTATTGACAGACTCCATTTTTCCCGCCCAGCAGCTCCAAGAAGGAGTCGAAATAACTGTTCACCGCTTCAAAGCCGTCCCGGATGGTCCCTATCCCCCAATCCGAAGAGCCTTCCTCTGGCGGGGCCACTGGGTGAATGGTGTTGTCTTGCGGTGTCCCTTCAAAGCACCTGGCTATAGGCAAGGCCAAGCACAGAATCAGCATCTGTGCGATTGACTTCATCCTGAGATCAGACCAAACAAAATTCGGGCCTCAAGAATGTCAAGGTGAGAAGAACTGTAGCGAGAGAGACTGACAGGACAGTAAGGACAACTGAGCTGTTTTGAATGCAGGGCATGTTTACGCCCCTCTCTGATGGACTTTACACACTGCTTTGGTACGATGACAGGATGAGATCACCATCATTAGGAAGCACAAAGTTCAGGCTCTTTGGTCCATGCAGAGCTCAGGAGCTGAAATTGTTGCCCAATGTGCTCCCAGAGCCAGCCCAACCCACAGGTAGATGCTGAGAGAGGCAGAACGCCAGGGGCTCTGGAATGATTACAACCATGCCCTAAGGGACATATAGTTCCCCTCTATCCACACCCCAGACCTTTTTGTCCCATCAGTTTGGTGTAGTGGTTAGGAGCACGGACTCTAATCTGGGAGAGCCGGGTTTGATTCCCCACTCCCTCACATGCAGCTGCTGGTGTGATCTTGGGTCAGTCATAAGTTCTTTCAGAGCTGTTCTCTCAAGAGCAGTCCTCGAAAGAGCTCTCGCAGCCCCATCTACCTCACAGGGTGCCTGTTGTGGGGAGAGGAAGGGAAGGAGATTGTAAGCCACTGAGACTCTGAGTTAAGGGCAGGATACAAATCCAATCTCCTCCTCCTCCTCTTTTTCTTTCCCATTTTCCCCAGTTACAGCCCACTTTCCTTCACTCCATACAAGGAAATGTAGCAAAGTTACTTGTATGAAGCAGCAGGAGGCTGCAGGTCTGGGAGGAAATCCAGAAACAATATTGTCTCAAACTATATTGTCTCAAAGACAAGCTTTGGTTTCCTCTACTCCTGGTTTTTCTTTGCTCCATTCACTTATACAGAATAGGAAAAAACAGCTGCAATAGGGAAAACATTGGGGGGGGGGGGGAACCACACAGTCACAATCACAAAATGTGTAGAATAAGACATGATGTTTGTGCAGCAGCAACATACAATGGCATTCTCATGTCTCGTTGGTGCATAACTCCAGTTCTCAGATGGTAGGACGTACAGTTCCAAAATGGGAATGCTGCAGTTGTGTTCAGAAGCGCCCAGTGCAGTGGGAATACTGATGGTATATTTCAAAAGATGAAGCATATTGCCCTCTAAGGGACCACTGCCCAGGTTATGGATTGCTACCTGCTTGAGGCTTCTGTGTAGTAGAGAATCACAAATATGGTTGCCAACCTCCAGGTGGAGCCTGGAGATCTCCCACTTTTACAATAGATTTCCAGATGATAGAGGCCAGTTCCCCAGGAGAAAATGGCTGCTTTGGAGGGTGGACTCTACAGCAGGGGTGTCAAACTCATTTGTTATGAGGGCCAGAGCTGACATAAATGAGACCTTGTTGGGCCGGGCCATGTGTGTCATAAAATATAATGCCAGGTAGCGGAGATATAAACTTTATAAAGGACACAAACACAAAGGGGTTTTTTTTAGCATAAGATTTTATTAGTAAGTAAGTTTTAACAAGAATAGAAATAGATAACTACTTAAAATAAAAACATGCTTAAAACATTAGCACTCTTGCAATATTTTGTTTATTTGTGTCTGATAACTGATACCTTTTGCTCTGAATTATTGCATCAAAATTATAGTGCTTCCAAAAAAAGGACAAGATAATTTACTCCCTCAATCATATAGGCCCATATCACTTTTAAATTGTGATTACAAAATATTTACAACTATATTGACAAATAGACTTAACAAGAGGGGACCCGCAACAAAATGTTGCGTAATGGGTTGTGCTTTGTTTTATATCCCTATAAGGCCAAGGGATATGGAAGGCGTCACAGAGCATCTCCCGCAGACTGCAGGGGGTGGGAATTACTGGGCACAGCAGCAAAATGTTCAAAGCAACCCTGTGCATCAGAGACCACTGCAGCTGGTATTTACCATCCTGGCATTTAAAAGGTTAAGTGTTATAATAGTGGGAGGGGAAGGAAGGAGGGGGGCTTGCAGAAGTGGGGACACTGAAAAAAACATGCAGGGAGATGGTATTCTTCCACTTTTGCTTCTTTCCCTTTCCCCTTCTTTCTTTCTCTCCCCAACCCAATACCCCCAGTTTGGTGTAGTGGTTAAGTGTGTGGACTCTAATCTGGGAGAACCGGGTTTGATTCCCCACTCCTCCACTTTTACCTGGCTGATTGACCTTGGGCAAGCCATAATTCTGGCACAGCTGTTCTTGAAAAAGAGCAGTTTCTGTCAGAGTTCTCTCAGCCCCACCCACCTCACAGGGTGTCTGTTGTGGGGAGGGGAAGGGAAAGGAGTTTGTAAGCCGCTCTGAGACACCTTTGGGTAGTGAAGGCTAAGGTATAAATCCAATCTCTTCTTCTTCTTCTTTCTCTTTCTCTCTGCCACCAAGGTAGGGTTGCCAGCTCCACGTTGGGAAACACCTGGAGGTTTCGGGGGTGGGATTTGGAGAGGGGAGGGACCTCAGCAGGACATGAGGCCACAGAGTCCACCCTCCAAAGTAGCCATGTTCTCCAGGTGAACTCATCTCGGTTGTTTGGAGATATTATATACTAACACACACACACACTCTCACACACACTTTCTCCTTCTGGCTCACGCCTGCTGCTTCAGATATTCTGGAGAGCAGCAGTGTTGCAGCAGAAGTCACCACCACAGTCAGAAAAGGCTGCTCACACCAACCCCCCCTCCCCCCACCGGAGGGCTAGTTCCTATAGTGACTGCCCAGGTTTCTCCACCTCCCGGCTTCTCCTGCAAGGCGTGGGAGGGCACAATTTGAACAGCTTCAAAGCAAAGCAGGCAGAGCAGGCAAGCTTGCTGAGTGTGTGAGGTGGGAAAACAGGAGAGCAAACGGCAACTTTATCAGGCAACTTCTTGCTCTGTAGTCCTGGAGTGCAGCTTGGCCAAAGATGGGGTCTCGGAGCCTGTGGGCACTCTGAAATTGCAGGAGCCAGCCCCTCCTGTCCTCCCTCCAACCCAGGTTCTCTCCCCCTCCTCCCTCAGGTCTGTGTTCCGCGTTTCTTCCTTTCCCTGCTTCTGCTCCCCCCCCCAACTCCTGAGACACCGGGTTTCTGTTGTATTGACTACCGTGAAGGCGGGGGAGGCTCAAGCCTTGGAAGATTCTGCCTGAGTCGAGTCCACCCGCAGAGACGGTTTCTGAGGTGGCGGTTTGTGCTGCCGAGTGGTTGTAGCCGCCACCGTTATATGCGGGGCGTGTGCAGCCACGCCATTTCCCTTGGGCTCCCGAGTGTTCTACTGGGGAGCTGTCAGTAGAGAATGCCGTTTAACTTTTGGGAAGGATTTAAATATCCCTTGTATACTTTTTAAAACATGTCAGATTTTTCTGCACAACTGGAGCATGCTCCGAATGTGCTGAAAGATCTCCTTGCCCCCTGTGTGCCCCAGATTTGCGGGAATAAGTATCCGCACGCAGGGGGCGCCTTCGCTATTAGATATATAGATGGTTTTATTGGAGATTATATCCATGTTAATCAATCAGGATTTATACCAGCTTGAGATATTACTGATAATATTCGAAAAACAATAGGGATTATCCAATATTGTACAAAATATTTAACTGGCACATGCCTTCTTGCATTGGATATAGAGAAGGCATTTGACAACGTTGAACCAAAATTTTTGAAATTAGTAATTAGTGAAATGGGATTTGGACCTACTTTTCAAAGAGTTATTAATTCATTATATGCCTCCCCTACAGCACAGATAGTAATCAATAATTCAATTTCTAAAGATTTTAACCTCTCCAGAGGCACACATCAGGGGTGTCCTTTATAACTCCTGCTCTTCGCTTTAACTATTGAACCACTAGCCAACCCTATTAGACAAACAGAGTTGCACGGGCCGGATATTGCGGGGGGGGGGAGGCGTGGCTGTTTGCCCCACAGCAAAATAACATGTGACTGCGCGATCAAGCGTCCCCTTGTGGTCCCGTCGAGGTCCCGTGGTTAGGGGGGAGGTTCCGATCACACAACACACCAAAGAAGTGGCGTGGCACGGCAAACGGGGTTGTGTTGTTGTTTTTTTAACCTGAAGTATGCGCATGCCCCGTTGGGTGCTTGTGCACATCCCTGGAGACTTCAGGGGGAAAAAACCTTTTTGCAATGGGGCATGGGCGGGCGCCGGATGCCACCGGAAATGCGATCAGATGCCCGCCCTTGCCCCGCGGTTTCTGGAAACTAGTACCTCTGAGGTACTAGTTTTTAACCACACATCTTCGGAGGGAAGCCTCAGGTTCACCACGGGAACTCTACGCTTCCCAGATGTGGCGGTGAGATCTCGCCCAAAAAATCCGCCTATCTGCCATCGCAGTAGCGTGGCTACTGCTCCGTGTGACCGCAGCCAGAATATATTTATGGGATTGTTATTAATCAAACTAAATTTAAAATTCGTCTGTTTGCAGACGATTTTGTTCTTTATGTTTCAAATCCTCAAATATCACTTAAACAGATAGAATTCAAACTGGCGGAATTTGCATCAGTTTCTGGATTATATGTTAACCAATCCAAGACTATTCTATATCCAATAAATATTACAGAAATATCCAAAAATTTTATTAAAACAATTTTTTGTATAAGTGGGTAATGCAATATTGATCATATTTAGGAATTAAAATTCCTCTTAATTTGCAAAATTTATTTAAAATTAATTATATTGAAACAGTGGACAAGACAAATTTTATTAGAGCAATGGCACAAAGAAAATTTATCATGGCTAGAACGAATTTTATCTATAAAATCAACATTTTTCCCGAGATTTTTATATCTTTTTTGTGCTTTACCAATGCCTATTCAACCTTCCCAATTTATTCTTTGGCAGAATAATTGGAAAAAAATCATATGGAATTATCATAAACCCCGGATTTCCTTCGACACTCTTCGACGACCGACTAAACTTGGTGGTCTAGCTATTCCGGATTTTAAAAAAATATTATGAAGCAACAATATTATCTACTATAATAAGAATTTTGAAATCTAATCCAAAACCAGAATGGA